ATCAGCAAACGCCATTGCTCAGCAACTCTGTACAGCAACGAGGCGACAAGTGTTGCGGTTTACTGTGGCCAAATGCCTTCACAAAGGGGGCCTATTCGCCCGCCCTCCTGAACGCTGCCTCCCATTGAAAGTTGGCCACTGATGCCACTGTTTACAGTGGTGCAGAGAGCACAAAACCTGGACAACTTTGCAAAAAGGAAATACTATGAAAAGCCAGGAGCTATGAATCTAGTATAAGAGTAAGATAAATATTATTGTTTCAAATGTTATTATGGATAGTAGCAGCTGCATTAAGAAAGGAAAAGGTAAGTGTAATTTTTTCCTTCTAATTTTTAGACACTAAACAATAATATAATGCTACAGCAAAATATAAGCGACTTCTAAATTAAGAGAAGCATAATAGACGATATAAAAATTTGGAACTGATAGCATATCAAAGTTCAAAATGTGATAATGTAAGCAAGCATAACATGAAAAATATTTAACAGTCAATGTCTTTGTATAATATTCATCTTTAATTAGAGATTAAGAAAGATTACATTGTTACATCCAAATTATACCTTAAAAGCAACTGCAATTAATAAATTTAGACTCATTGTTTAATAAAAAAGATCCACCCCCAGTTAATTTGGTGTGGTCTAAATAAAATAAACAAATTGAAAAAAAGCATGTGAGAGAAAAAAAGTGATTCATATTACACTGAAAAATTTAACAGATTTACTTTGAAAAATTTAACAGATTTATGTATTTTCACTCTGACATTTATGACCAACTTGCAACTATTTCATGAATATGCATTACTCATACAGATAAACCAAAATTTACTGAAAGGAATTTATTATACCTATGCAATGTAAACTATTCACTTAATTAGTAGTAAATACTAATTCAATTTTTAACAGGGTTCAATACATTACTTGCCAATAGTTATTATGCCATACAATTTTTGCAAAGTGGTCCTGCAGCGATAAAAACTCTATAAAGTATAATTTTTTAACTGTATAAGGTATTTCTCCCACTTCCCTAGAGTGCCTTCATGGTGTAACGGTAGCACGCTGGGCCGGTATTCCAGAGGTCCGTGGTTCGATTACCGGTGAAGGCAGTTGCATATTTTTCATCTTTTCTGCTTCCAATTAACCTAATGACTCTACAAGTGGCGACCGAACTAAAAGGGTAGTGGATGATGATTCTCCACACCCAGGATTTGGCGACTAGGTCCCCTAAAACCCTAGTCGCCCTTTAAAAAGGGGAGTATATAAGGTATTTCTCCCACTTCCCTAGCATGCCTTCGTGGTGTAACGGTAGCACGCTGGGCCGGTATTCCAGAGGTCCATGGTTCGATTGCTGGTGAAGGCGGTTGCATATTTTTTCATCTTTTCTGCTTAATGACTCTACTACTGTATTGAGGAATAAGAATTTCAATGATGCAATAAACACATTTTAAACAAATTTTGAAATGAAAAGAACATATTAAAACTAAGTATTACTTATATTACAAAAAAATCAATATACCTTTTAGTTATTAAACTCTAGCAAAGATTTTTAACTCTGTAATGCTACTGCCAAATTAAAATAAATGTAAATAAAAAAGTTATCTGTTTCACTAATCAACAAAATCTTTTTGTTAAAAAATCTGTTGTTTTTCACAGAAATAAAAATTCCATATTAAAAAAAAATATACTGCTACAATAATTTTAGTGAAATTTAATTTCAACAGTGAAACACAGACTTTTCTTGTTTGAAAAAGATATAAAGTACTTTTTCATTCTCCTCATTCCCTACAAAAGCTCACAAAAAAGCACTGTTGAGGCAATGCATCATGTTACCAAAATGTATATGGCAACCTAGGTTTTCATGTAGCATAATCCTACATGGTTTTCCATTTCTCCAGACATTCCCCCAATGTGACTCAAGGTTGTACACAATACCAAGTCTGTGTAATTATCTTTTCTTTTTTTAGAAACAAATTGTTATGCACATGAGGAGAACAGCAGGGAAAAAAAAATAAAAATGTGAATGTCTTGTGTGGAAAAAGAAAAATACAAAAAATATTTGGCTCCGGATGCATTATTGGAATAGCCATAAAGATATCCAAATAAATGTTTCTCTCAAAAGCAGCCAACCAGTTGGTGACTTTTGGTGGGGATGTAGACAATCAGAAGGTACCAAAGACACTCTAAGTACAAAAATAAAAAATAATAATACACACACAGACAATTAAAATATGACAACTGAGAAAATATTTCTACAATTAGCAGATTTTATTTTGTTATACTTCTGTTATCAGGACCGAATTCAGAAATGTATGTATGTATGCATGTAAGTACAGATGCATGTGTTCACATATGCATGCATATATGTATATATATATATGTGTGTGTATACACATACATACATTTCTGAATCTGGTCCCAATAACAGAATACCACTATTTTTAATGCATATACAGTCAAAAGTCGTTAATTCAGACCTCAAAGTTAAAAACTTTCTGCGCATGCGCCGCGTTGACACATGTGGATAGGCATTTACACGTGCACGTACAACCTTTTACGACTGCGCATATGCGTGTGCGCAAGCGCAGAACACGTTTTCGCGTGCGCGTTTATGTATAACGGACGGTATAAGCTAAAATTATCTATTTCAGTTAATGTTGATGATTGCGTTGTTCCTTAATCTTTGAATTGGATCTGGCTTATTATTTTTTGCAGACTGTAAGAGCAATATTATAAAAGTAAACTTGAACTTTCGATTATGTCAAATAGAATTTCCGATTTCAAAGGATTGTACAAAACGAAAGTATGTTTCTATGTCTATCAAACAAAAAGTGGAATTGCTGCAAAAAATGGATAAAGACATGAAGAATGTGACAGAGAGGTTAGTGAAAAACGAAAAAATTTCGATTGAGAAGTTAGTCAGTATTCTCGGCACAGCAATTAACGGGACTTGAACAGCGGAACTTTGTAACTGAACAAGAAATTATGTCTGTTTATAGAACTAAAGAGGAAGTAATCAAATAAAACGAAGCAACTTAAACAACTTACATAGAAAGAAATGTTTAATAAAGTAAACAAATAAATACAGTAAGACCCCGCTTAACGCTGTTTCGTTTAGCGCTGTTTCGGTTTAGCGCTCTTTTATTTCAACCCGGGGATTCTCCGAAACTGTGTGCAGCGCTAGGTTTCCAAATAACATATCCGAAACAGTGTAGTTGTGTTTCTTGCTTGGTGGACGCATTTTTATCATTTGAAACATTTGTTGACATTATTGTAAGTTTAAATTTGTATAATACTATAACGATTAATACAGTGACAAACATTATGATCTTTAGTTTTTATCATGGGTGATAATAAAAAACAAGAAAAGAAAGCAACCAGAAAAAGCATTTCACTGGAAACTCAAATGCAAGTGATTAGAAGATTAGATTCTGATGAACGTCAATCTCAAATTAGTGCTGCATTGATTTTGGCAACTTCAACAATGAGGACAATTCTTAAGAATAAAGAAAAAATACTGTCATCGGCAACTGCAACTACATCAAGCTCTGCAACTAGAATTACTCGTTCTAGAAATAACATTATAGAGGAAATGGAAAAACGACTGTCTATATGGATTGACGACAAAATTGAACGCAATATGCCATTAAGCCAATCTATCATAATGCCTTCTTAACAAAAAGGCAGAAAATTGGAAACCCAGAATAGACTGAATGATCTGACTGAGAATTTTATTTGTTTTTTTAAAAGTATATGCGTTTATATTGTTTTTTTTTATTTTGTAAGAAATAAATGTTTGATTTTATTTTTATTAAAAAAAAACATTATTAAATTTAATGCCTAACCATTTTTTATCCGTCTTCCCCTAACCCCATTATTTACATGTTAAGATAGCCTCGCTTAGCGCTGTTTCGCCTTACGCTCTACTTCGATGGAACGTATCCCCCACGTTAAGCGGGGTCTTACTGTATTAGGCTTTTTTTTGTAAATTTTGATACCCTTTAGATCATAATTGTTCTTTATTTCATAAATTAAGGTTTCATATTTTTAATTTTAGAATTTCTGCACGCCATCTTATGAGATTTAAACTGATGATCTATAATCCGGAAAAATCGATAATCCGGAATCGAAGTCCCGACGAGTCCGGATTAACGACTTTTGACTGTATTAGTGTGTTCAGATACATTAGAGTAAATAAATAGGCAAAAATAAGATAGCTATATGATATATAGTAACAAAAACTACAGTATGAATGTTAACATTAATATTAACAGTATTAATGTTAATAGCATCAATTGTAAAATTTAACTAAGTATTGAATGTTTCTGAATGATTCAGTTTGAAGCATATAATGAAAATTAATGAAAAATCTTATCCTGCATAGTTTCTGCTGCAGCATATTCTGGGATGCAGATAGAATCTTAGTGAAATAATATTGCTAAAAACAAATTTCCAGGTATTGGGTAAAAAACACGATCATGCGTTCGGCTGGAAAGCAGTGATTAGTCAGAAGCGAGCTCACAGGTGGTATTTTTCAGACGACGGGAGACCACATGAGTTGACTTAACTTCAACATTTCGCCGCTTTTCGCATCAGTTTCAGGCATCTCGTCTCAAATGTCCAGTTTATATCACGATTTTCAAATGATTACACTTTCAAAAATTCTTCTAGAGGAAACTAAAAAGTCAAATTGACTATTCTTAATAAAAATTTCAGATAATAATAAAAAATGCATATGTTAATACCATAAATGATATATGATTGATAATTTTTACAGAATAATCTAAAGCAATACATTGTTGTGAGAAAATAGTGATGGATTTCAAATGGATTAGATAGATAAAATAGTGATGGATTGAGACTCGTGTATTATGGATATATCCACTGCTAGAACTCTGAAGTTTTGGAATCTGTTGTCCTCCTCTACCTTTATAGAAATATAAAGGTGCTCAGCATACCAATTACTTTCATAGACATACAAATGATAGACATGAGTTCAACACTTACACTGAATAACGGATGAATTAACTCCTTCAACTATGAGAAACACCATATTTCCTTGCATAGCTTTCCTTTTAGTGGCCCATTCTGAAAATTAAAACAATATTCATGTAATACGTCCCTTCTTAAAGCATTCACAGTACAAACACTTTTTTAATTTAAAAATGGATTTGTCAACGTAGTGATTGTTTTTGTTTTACTAACAAAGGCAAAACCTTGAAAACTACACACAAAGGTCATGCCAAACCTTGCCTTTCTAAAGCAGTTGAACTTTATGCTATCCTAATATGAGAACTAACTGATCACAGTGAAGCAAACATGAAATGACAATCAATCTATAATTTTGCCAAATTAGCTGCACATTCACATTCTCTAATTATTTATGAATGATTGTTTGTATTCATGTTTCTGGAAATTTATTTCAGAAAGTAACACGCAAACATCTTCTATTGCCTCTCCTGCTAAAACTTGAGTTTTTTTTTTAATCAATATCCACCCAAGCATTAAATTTCTCACAATTCGTGTTAGCTGAAGACATTTCTAGATATTCACCCTCCTTTATTTCACCATTTACTAAAAGTTTGCATGTTTAAAATAGAAATCAAATTCAAGATTCTTGGCTTCCTTATTCGGCAACTTGCCTCTCAACTAAAAATTCCTGTACAATATTAGAACTTCATTACGCGATTTTACTTTATTTGACAGAAATTTTTCAGTCAAAAAAATTATTTTATAATATTTTGATAACATTAACCGATTATGCGTTGTCCACGTTTTCGTATACAGTCAAAAGTCGTTAATCCGGACTCGTTGGGACTTCGGCGATTCCGGATTATCGATTTTTCCGGATTATAGATCATCAGTTTAAATCTCGTAAGATGGCATGCAGAAATTCTAAAATTTAAAATATGAAACCTTAATTTATGAAATAAAGAACAATTATAATCTAAAGAGTATCAAAATTTACAAAAAAAAAGCTTAATATTTATTTGTTTACTTTATTAAACATTTCTTTCAATGCAAGTTGTTTTAAGTTGCTTCGTTTTATGTGATAATACTTTCTCTTTAATTCTATAAACAGACACAATTTCTTGTTCAGTTACAAAGTTCCGCTGTTCAAGTCCCGTTAATTGTTGTGCCGAGAATACCGACTAACTTGTCAATCGAAATTTTTTTTGTTTTCACTAACCTCTCTGTCACATTCTTCATGTCTTTATCCATTTTTTGCAGCAATTCCACTTTTTGTTTGATGGACATTGAAACATACTTACGTTTTGTACGTATGAATCCTTTGGGAGCTCCAGAACCGGAAATTCTATTTGACATAATCGAAAGTTCAAGCTTACTTTTATAAAATTGCTCTTACAGTCTACAAAAAATAATAAACCGGATCCAATTCGAAGATTAAGGAACAACGCAATCATCAACATTAACTGAAATACATAATTAGGTAATTTTAGATTATACATAAAACGCGCACGCGAAAACGTATTCTGCGCTTGCGCAAACACATATGAGCAGTGGTAAAAGGTCTTACGCACACGCGTAAACACCTATGCGCATGTGTCAACGCTGCACATGCGCAGAAAGTTTTTAGCTTTGAGGTCCAGATTATAGATCATTCCGGATTATGGATGTCCGAATTAACGACTTTTGACTGTACAAATAAATGGGCTCGACATGAGACTGTTCGAAAACAATATCCAAATGACAACATTAACGACGATCGTATAACGCGGCGGCCCGTACTTATTACAAGAATGAAGGTTAAGCTAAAGTGACTTCATGGCCTGATTTTAACGGGACAGTCCCGCGTCCCGCCGATTTTTAAAAATATTCCGCTTTTTGTAAAACATCTGCATTTCTTATTTTAAATATAGTGCAAAAATATATTACCTATTATTTATTAATTATCATAGTAAATATAAAGAAATAAAACTACATAAATAAAAAGACATATAAAATGCATGCAGAGTAAACTAAATTAGGCGATGTAACAAGTTAGATTTACTTGGTGATGTTCGATCCTTAACGTTATGTCTCGTCAAGGAATATGTATTGTTAATGGAGGAACAGCTAGCATTAGCTAAAGGGCTATTTGCTTTCGGCACAATAAACCACAATCAAAGTTTCAGATCAGTTGATTGTATGTCGCAAATTGTACAAAACATTGTACGAAAAAAATTTGCAAGTGCAAGGACAAAAACTGAAGCAATTATTTGTAATGTTTTTCACTATATTCGTTTTCACAATTGCAGAAAGAATTAGATTAAATGTACATTTATATCCATATATTATGATGCTTCCAACCACATAACACTAGCTCCACTGTTCACAGTTACGTGTATATTAGGATTAGACACTCCGCCACTAGAAATCTATCGGCGAGTAGCGCTTCACACAGCCCGGTTCTACACTTGACAGTACCCGTACGGTCCCTGCTGAGCCTGATCGGACCATAGGACGGACCTATGGTCTAGTCCTGTGAAGAATGATAATATACCCAAGAAATCGAAGCTGTCAGGACACAAGTCCAGCAATGGTCTGGTAGAACCCCAGGTCTCCTCCCATAAATGGTTGGTTCCGGAAATCCACAAGATTTAATATTATTTCCCACAACTGTTAAGACTTTTTGATCCAGAAACAGGAATTAAAATTAGAGTATTATATTTTGTTTCATTGCCGTGTGAAACTTCACAAATAATTTTTGATTCAATAAGTACTACTTTCAAAAATAATAATTTGAACAATAAAATTATTGCCTATCGTGGGGATAACACTAACGCAAATTTTGGTGGAAAAGCTAGAAGAGGGATCAATAACGTTTTAACGAAACTTAATGAACATTTGAACCAATAAATTATTGGGGTAGGATGCGCAGCACACATTCTACACAGTACTATTCAAACAGCATCTGACTTACTTCCAGTGGAACTTGAAAATATTAATGCAAAAACTTATACGTATTTTTATGTATATACACTGTGCATGTTGAAAGTTTGAAGGATTTTTGTGAAAGTGCAGAAATCGAACATTAAAGAATTATTGGTTACAGCAAAACACGATGTCTAGCTCTTTTACCAGCTGTAGAAAATATTTTAAAAATAATACGAACCATTAAAATCATACTTTTTATCACAAGATAAATGTCCAACAATATTGCAGCTCTTTATTGAAAGTGACCAATCACAAATTTGGCATCAGTTCATCCACAACCAAGCTACATTATTTCAGAATGCTGTGAAAATTACTGAAGGGGGACAAAATTTCAATTATGTCAAATGAAATCAATAATTTTCTGGCCTGCTTTCATAACTAAATTATAATTCTCATTTCATTCCATTTGACCCGCTTTGTCTCGATGAAAATGTGGTCACTTTAGGTTAAGCACTAGTTCATCCTATTTGTGATCCAGGTAGGAATAGAATTTCCCATTTTGCACTGCGATTTGTAATTTTTTGAATCAAATTTCAATGTTTGATGTTCAAATTATGAATTATAAAGAAGTAATCTTCTTAATAGACATGATACCTATGCATCTTACACACACACATATATATGTAAGATATAATAAAATATGATAGCTGTTTCAAAAAAAAAAATAATTGACGTCCTCAAAATTAACATTCTAAATTTGGTAATCTGCCCCTAAATTCATCTCTTCTCACAGGTTCCAGACTTTCTATCTCATGTTACGTTTTAATGCAGATGCCTCTCGTCCAATCAAATTAATTCTAAACCAAAACTGTGAACTGAAACTTCAGCCTTCTTGCTATGAAAGTACTATAACCTTTCCCCCTTTCCGCGTTAATTGTCCTGCTGGTAAGACGCTTATCATCCCTGCTGCCGCTTACTTGCTTAAGATGACGTCGTACTCCAAAATGGGAGTTATTCTATTCAAATATTATTAAGAAATATCTTGTCTGAAAAAGAATGATTTGATATGCATGGAAAAAAAAAAAAAAGATTGTGATTTTTCAAGATATGTTGTGCTAAATTGCGTCATCATGTTTTCCACTCTGCCACCTTCAAACCACAGTTTCATTACATATATATATATATATATATATATATATTCTACGTCTAACAAAGTCATTAACATTTCTTATTTGCGTTTAGAAGTCATCTTATCATATACTAAAGAAATATAGCAATCATTACATACATAAATATTTATTACTCACGAAAACAATCCCTGCGGAGAACAAAACCAAACCACCGATGCCAACAATGCACGGAGTTGTATTCCTGCTTCTATGCTATAAATGCAGCAGAAAAGTGTATAGTTAATGTATAAATTTAAGAGCGAACTATAGACAAAAGATTAGAACTTTAATCCATACAATAATATACACTGTAGAGTTTAAAAAAAAAAAAGGCTGCATGCAGATCTCATATATTATTTGAAACTTAGACAAAAATGATATAGTCTACTGAAATAGAAATTCTAGAAAAGTATGAAACTGATCTGAGAAATAATGATAGTTAACTTTTTCAACACTATTTCATTCTATTAAAAATCGCTTTTATGATTGTCTGAATTAAACTAAAAGTATTTGAACTTGTATTTAATTCAGTGAAGCTGCATTACCAAATTAGTTTCGAAATCAAGAAATCTTTCGTAATAATATTCAAAATAAATAGTTTTATAAAAGAAAATTACATTAACAGAAAGAGTGGTTAGAAATTTTTTTTCAAGGTGGTTATTTTTCATATTTTTACGAGGTTTGTTTTTCTTTTTTTTTTCCGCGCCCATGTCGTCCGCTCTGTCTTGCAGCGCCGCTGGGCAGAAGCGTCAGATTTTTGCCATTTTCCACACATGCGGATGGAAAACACAGAATGGACTTCACTAGCAGTCAAACGGTCGTCAAGCGCGGAGCGCGAAATGTTGTCTGCTCTATGTTTTTGTTGTGACTGAATTCACATGCATTTCGGTGGATATTCGCATTCAATGGTTGGTTACGTTTCTCATTCCGAATTCCTTAATTTTAAGAAAATTAATAAATGTGCAGTATTATGCGCTCTATTAATGCATTCATTTATTATTAACTTAATTAATATCTTCATATATATAAGAGTGCTTGTGAACAAAAAAGTATAGGCTCCTAAGCTAGAACAACATTATGAAGGCCTGCAAAAAGTGAATACATTATATTTCAATATATCAGAATTTTTCGTCATTTTTTTCTGTCAAATAATATAAACATTTATTTCCCTCTCAAAAGAACTTTTCTAAATGGTGGGTCATATTATAGAGTACTACATGTCTCCCGAGTGAAAAACATTTGATTTACATATTTGCATAAATTATTACGTTCTATCAGGATATTTGTTTTGGCTTGATGATTAATTAAAGAACTAAAGTTATAAGCTTGTTCTATGATGAATGCATTATACATTTTAGTAAAAATTCTAATTTCTTTGTTATAAATCTAAAGTGTTATCCTTTCTTTTGGCAGGTCATAAAACATGAGGATAACATCAATATATGCTACTTTTTCAGTGATGCAGAAAGAGCAAAATAATAACAGGAAAAACAGCATGTCATGACGACAGCATAAAAATGACAAACATGACTGCTTTATGGAGGAGGGTTGTAATTCTCCTTGTAGTTGTAATCGCTATTCTACAGGTGAGATATTGCTTTTTTTTTTTTTTTTTTTTTTTTTTTTTTTTTTTTTTAATGCCATGCAGATATTTCTTTCACACAAATTTTATGAAATACTATGACATGTAGATTTCTATTTTAGCCGTGCATGAAAAAGGAGTGTTTAATAGATTTTCCATAAAGTGTTTATTTAAAGTTCCATAAAATATATTCTTATTTAAAATTATGTCATTACAAATCAGCTTCAGGAATTAATTTAATATATTTATGAATTAAAATTGTAAATACAATAATCAATATGCGTAAACGTATAGGCCAGTTATCTTGAAGGTAAGCAATTTTTCTACCAGAAAAATGCGTTCTATGGATCGAGTTTTGAGTTTCTATGGAGCAAATTTATTCATTGAAAACGCTTTTTGCTATTTCGGAGAGCAGAAAATTTTCTCTCTATGATGGTTCAACAATTTTACTTGTAAATCTTACATTTTCTGAATTCGGGTGTTGCAACAATTTGTAAGGAAATGTTAAGTGATGTATAAAAAAAATGGCTCAGCCAAACAATGGGCTTCAAGCTTTGTTGAGTTCTTAAATGTGTTTCAGAAATAAGTTAACAAGCAATCATTAATAATTCATTAACAGTGATAAGCTGTTTAAATATTCTGTCATGGATGGTCTATATAGTAAGCTATTAATTAATTGGGCTCTAAAATTTATAACGAACTAATTCACTATTAAATTTGCTACGTCACTGAAGTAAGTGTTACAATCTAGTTAAAATATACAAAATCATATTTAAAAAGAACTGTATAACGATAGGAGATTAAAAAGGTTAAATACTGATTACATCTTATGTGAGCTAAACGTTTCCTGATAATGTTAATGAACACAATTTATTTATACAACGGGTTAAAAAGTGAACGTGTGTTAAAAATGCTTCATAATAGTGCCTTTTTTTTAAAAGAAAAAAAAAATTAAAGGCTGAATATGCAGCATGCATTATTCAACTTTTCATTGGTGCAAAATTTTAATATTTTTTATGTACTCATTTCAACTAATAGTTGAGTAATACGACTTTTGTCTTAAGTACTTTGTGATTAGTCAAAAAAAAAAAAAAAAAAAAGTCTGAATGTTTTCAGATTTTATATTGCGCTCAAAGGGGTTTTATTTAACGTTTTGTGTTTTACCTTTATTAAATATCATGTTCTCCACACTTAAGGCATAAATCTCAATTCAACAGCAATATCACTAAATTAAAAAGAGCATATCTTTAGAATTTCCGATACACAATCTCGCGCACTGAAAATAATTTTTCCCCGTACAGTGATTGCCATTTGCTCGCTTTAAAATCGTTAAGTTTGTTAATCAAAAATTCATTAAAGTTTTACAAAATATGAAATAGATAATAAAACAAATTCCAAATTTGGGCTTCCAGATGCCCATATTAAGTGAAGGACAACTTATTGAAAATTTGATGACTTCTAGGTACTGTTATTTTTTCGCAGTGGGAGAAACATACATATATTCATACAGATTCTTCATTATTTAATTTCTTTAAATATAATGCAGGGCTTTAATATTTGGTGGCAACAATTTGCAAAGTGAACCGACATTTATAGTGAATCAACGCAAAATTCCAATACGAAATTAATAGCCCTTCTGGGCTAACGCCCCTTGGGCTAAAAAGAATGGATCCGATCTTTGAATACTGAGATATTCAAAATTAAATATATTAACAATGTCTTGAATGTATTCCGAAATATTTCTTTCTAAAATATGAGAAGAGAAACAGTATTACTCTAAAGGACTAATTTTCGATTTGTCATGAATTATAAATTTAAATTAATCTTAACATTTCCCCTCTTACATATATTTCGAAAGACACAAATTTCTTCCGGGTTGTTCATTATTTTCAGCAAAAGAATTTGGTTTTTTGGCAAAATTAAGTTTATTAAAAGAAATAATCTTTGCAGGCACCGATCGCAAGCGATCCTTTGGTATATATGCACAATTTTTATTTTGAGTATTTAAGACTCTTCTGCATTAAATAAGCACACAAGTCTTCATGTAATTATAATTTATAATAAAATCAAATCATATCAAATTTTCCCAAAACGATTTGTTATTGTTGTTTATAAAATATCACTCTAAATGCATGATATGTTCTATATCTTGAAACAATAATAGCTTAATTCTTAAATTAGTAGGCTAATCGTAACTGTTTTGCTTAAAATTGTTTTAAGCCACAAACTAGAATTAGTTCACATTTTTTTTTTTAAATATCGATAAATATATATGTTATACGTTGAAATGTATGTGCAAAGAATACTGTTGTAACAGCATTAGGGTAATACGTCGTGTAGAAGGTACTTATACTGGAAATATTTGGAAAAATACAAATGTTGTATATTGAAATGTACGTTTTAAGAACACGGTTATACCGCGCGCCACTTTACCACCTATACAATGTACTTTATAGTTTGTGCTGGGAAAGTTGCAAAAAGTATCAGTGTTTTATGTTGAAATGCACGTCTTAAACATACTGCTATTACACACACTACTTTAGCCCTTCTCGTAGAACGACTTTATACCACATACTGGGAACTTTTCGAAAAGTACCAATGCTGTATATTGAAATATACAGCATTGGTACGTGCTAAGAACACGTTTGTAACACCCATTTATTTAGTACGTAATGTAGTTTATAACACATGCTGGGAACATTTCGAAAAGTAACAGTTTTGTACGTTTAGGTGTACGTTCTAAGAAAACGTTGTTCTAAGAAAATATTTGTAACACATGCCACTTTAGCACGTTGCGTAGATACTTATAATGCGCGTGTCATAAAAACGAAAGAAATGCTCTTTGAAACTTCCGAAGTTGTTTGGGTATATTTTTCAAAATTTTACGACTTTTTTAATTTTTAAAACTTAAACGATAATTTTTTGAGGTGTCATATTGTAAGTAATTATATATTATATATTAAGTTAACATATGTAGGTTTTACTTTCAAAATAGAGCACGAATATTGCATTTTTAAATGCTTTATTTTACTAATAAGAAATAGTTAAAATGTAAGTAAAAATTAATGTTCCAGGATTCAGGTAATGATGAGCAGTTCACACACACTATTAGTTCCTCCGGCGTTGATAGAATACGTTATTCTCTTAATATCCACAGCTAGCTTTAAATAATATGATCAGCTTGGTTAAACCAAAAGGCACTCAAACACCAAAGAAGACCGTCTGTCTTCTTTAGCTCTTGAAGACAAGCAAGCCATCCGCTCGCATCTGCTACTCTCCACGTCTGGACGCTATCTGGCCTTGTCTTAACTGCTCTTGACAGAGCTTTGCTGGGATGACGTCACCACGCTGGTATTCGCCAAGTCAGCATCGGTCGTCGATGATCTCCACATATATTATATATTAAGGTGTTATATTATATATTAAGTTTTAAAACTGCAATTTTATTAACCGTTTTCTCTTATTGTAATTGCGCATATTTTTGAATATCTATGCATTATGATTACAAAATTTCTGTGCCAGTCTGAAGGCATAACAATCGCGATTTACAGTCATGTGCAAAAGTTTAAGACCACTCATGGAAAAATCAGATTTATTTAAATTTGGAAACAAAAACATATGTTATAAATGAAAAATAAATAGACTTACAAGGTTATTGAAGCATAGTAAGTATTTTGACGGACCTCCCTTATTTTTTAATCACTGCTGCAATCCTTTTAGGCATGCTGTGAACAAGAGACTGGTAGTAAGCTTAAGAAATCTCTGTACACCACACATGCTTTCTTGCTTCAACAAGTCCTGTAGCACTGGATGGTAGCTTCCCCGCGATTTTATTTCTCACAATACTTCACAGATTCTGTATGGGATTCAAATTTGGAGTAGCCCTAAGGTAATCTTTAACATTCCTTGCCATGTGACACGGAGCCTCATCATGCATGACAATTGAGCATCTGTGAAGTTCAATTTTCATGCATGATGAGGCTCCGTGTGAAGCTTCAACTTGTCACGTAACAAATTAAGGTACCGACTACCGTTCATCGTGGTTTTAGATGGCAGGAAATATACAGCAGCAGTGCCAGACGCAGATATTGTAACCCATATCATCTGGCTTGGAGGGTGTTTCTCTGTCGGACTCGTATATTTGTCATCATATCTTTTTCCAAATGGGCAGCGAATACATTTAACACGTGCAGAAAATTTCTGCACACTTGACTCATCGGATAATAACACTGTACTTCACTGTTATTCAGTCCGATTCTGATATTGTCTGGCGAACGTCACTCGTTCCTTTTTCATACTTTGAGTAAGTCGAGGTTTCCTTGCAGGTTTATAGGAAAATAAACCATAATCTTTAGTCAAACGTCTTGAAATAGTACTCGAACTGACGGTAGTACCCTTTGCAGACAGAGCAGCTCTAATTTTATCGCAGGAGGTTGTTGGATATCGAGATATCATCCTTCTTATCACACGTTTATCACGTGCACAAGTTTTTCTTGGGCGGCCCCTTCTCTTAAGATCCATATAATTTCCCGAAATTTTGAATTTACTGATATATTGATGCAAACCTGTTTTACTGATATTTGCCTTCAAACTTATTTTACGTCATGCAGGGCTACTATTTTTGCCCATTTTTCAACAGCAAATGGAGATTTTTTACCCATTACAAGAATTATATAACAGCACTGTGTACGCAAAATCCGATAACGAACTACTGATAAACGAGACCACATTATATTTATAGCAGAAAAAAGCGTTTGATGCAATCAACCCATGAGATAACGCAGTCAGGAGCGAAAATGGTGTAATGTGCACAGGAAAATGGTTGCACATGACTGTAATGGTCAAACATTGTATCCACGAATTCCGCAGTATGTTATTGGATTAAGAGTTGCATATTGGTTAAAGAATAGGAAATTTTACTTGAATTTAGCAAAAACACCCGCTTATATAAAAGAGCACAGTAAAAGAAAAATATTTAATAAAAGCCGCATTTATCTTATTAAA